GCCACCTAGAAACTCTCTGTTCACCTGTGCTGATGGGAGCCTTTCCCTAGACCGCGGGCCATTCCCACAGCAAGAGTTGGGCTGCAGACAGAGCCCGCACAAGACACGCTAGACAGGTCTTTTCATTCCCTCTGTGCAAGCCGTTTTTAAGTCACGCCTAATCCTGACAACTGGGTCCTGTCAGATGGCGCCTCTTTAAAACCAAAATGTCAGTTAATAAGCAGGTGAGATAATCTGCCTCCGGCAAACACTCCCTAATTAAAAATAAGAATTGAATCTTTTTCCGTCATTCAGAAGCCTGCTTTAAGCTTTCTCATAGAATGCTTTTTGGTGAAGTTTTAAAATGTGCCCTGTTACGTTCATTTTGAACTAAAATATGATGGAATGAGCAGCAGACTTGGTTTCTGATCCACAGTCTCATGAGTCTGATCTATTGCTTAGCAGTCTCTAGGAGGTCATGGCGGTAAAGTACATGGCTAAGATTAGGAGCTCCAGAACCACTACCTTGGTTTGAACCTTGGCTCTCTTACTCAGATTTTCTACCTCAGTTTCCTTCTTCCTAAATCAGAGCCTGGAGTGAGGATTTAGGATGACATAATCTTCACAACCATTCTTGGCACAATGCCTGCCTCACTATAAGTAAGCCGTCCTCGTCAGCTATTGCCATCAAGATAATCACCATCATCGTTAGCTCTTATGTATGTTCTATTAATTAATTGGGTAGTTAATGTTCTACAGTAGGGCATGGCAAACTTTATCGGTAAAAGTATACTTTAGGCTTTGTGGGCTACGCAGTCTCTGTTGCAATTACTGGACTCTGACATGGCGCCAGTCACATGACCCTGTCTGCCTGTAGTCAGGAGGGTAGATCTCAAGTGTCCTCACCAAAAAGAAAAAAAAAGAAAGACCAACAAAATGGTAACTATCTGAAGTGATAGAGACGTTATATTAGTGTGATTGTGGTGATGATTTCACAATGTGTGTGTTTATCAAATTTCAAATTGCATACCTTAAGTATATACAAGTTCGATTGTGAAATATACCTTAATAAAAATTGGCACTTAAAAAAGAAACAAAACAAACCTTATTTGAAAAAAAAACGCAGTCAGAAGTCAGAAATCTCCACCCCTAGAACCTTCCATTCAGACGTTTCACTGTCTCAAAGCAGTATTTCCCTCCTCTGGCTCATTCTCACTCCACTTTCTTAGTTTTCCCTGGTTCTTCAGACCCTTCACCTCTCTACCTTCAGACTCCCTCCCCTGAGTTTCAGTCCAATAGATAGATGTCAAGGTCCATCCATCCCTTGCCAATATTTTCAGCGCCTGCACCCATTTTCCTTCCATCTTACCTCGTGTCAAAACCGGGACTATCTCCACAGTTTCAACTCGGATGGCTGAGCTATGCAGGAGAGAACTGCAGGATCACAGATCCTGACACCATAAATGCATCGCGCCTGACTCCGACAAAGTCCTCACCTTTGCCCTAAGTCCGTCTTAGGAAACGTCTCCCTTTCTCTACAACAGTTGTTTCAGATCATCTCCTGTCCTCATAAACTTCTAAATGCACAGACATCCCAGTCTAGGAGCTTTCAATTACAACATCTTCCAGATCTCTCTCTCTCTCTCTCTCTCATTTACACACACCATTATTGCTTCTCTCCTTTAACAATGGAAGAGCTGCCCCTTCCTCCCTTCCTACCTGAAGCTGGGCACACCCATATGAATTCCATCCACATTGAAACACATTCCTATGCTCATCCTAAAAACAAAAAACCTCACCAGATTCCATGCTTTGGTTCAACCACCTTCTTTCTGCATCCATCCCACCTCCTACATTCTGTAAGTTCTGCAAACTAAGAATATTTTGTAGATTTTTAGACTTTTTTTTTGGTCAAAAGAAGAATACTGTTTTTAACACCGAAAAATTATATAAAAATCCAAATATCCATGCCCATAAATAACGCTCTACTGGCACACAGCCATGCTCACTCACTTGTGTATGGTCTGTGGCTGGCTTCACGCAACAGTGACACGTTGGGTAATAATAATGGAGACCGTACAGCCCACAAGTCAAACACCAATTGACCCCTTACAGAAATGCTTGCCTCCCTTCTACAAACTTCTCAAGACAGCCACCCACACCTGTAATCTTCACTTCCTTTCCTTCCATCGCAATCCAGCTTACGTCTCTGCAGCACACGCGGAACGGCCACAGCCCACGGTGCTGCTAAAATCAAAAGGGTCTTCCTCTTCCATGACACCCTGCTTCCCCCCAGCTCTCGGGGGGAGTCTCTTTACTCTTCCTTCCTCGATGACCTTGTGTTCACCCGTCTCTGAGGTGCCCCTGTGGGCTGCGCGACCCAGTCGCCCTCGCCCCCAGACCGGCCTCTTAAGTCGCCTTCCAGACATCAACACCAGAAGCCCAGAGGGCCCTCCGAGGCAAGAGGCTCAAGTCAAAAGCCATTCTTCCATTCGTGGCATGTGAGCCAATTCCTTCCCCTTGCTGAAATATGCGCCCTCTCTCGGCATCCTCTCTGCATTTAATCCGCCGCCAAGTTCTGTCTTTTCTGTCTCCCGCCTACTGGTTCAGTCCACTGCTTTCCGTGCCAGTGTCACTGGCTCAAACTTCTGTGATCTTTTGTTGTCAGCTCTCTATTGTGTTCCTCCGTGGCGAGCAACAGAAACATCCCTTGACCAACCTAAGTGCAAACAGATGTCTTGATAGCAGTTGTGGCAACTCACAGAATGAGGCCTGGACTTTATGCTTTCTAGATCTTCTCTCCTATTATTCTAGGAACAACACACAGAAAAAGAACAACATACTTAGAGGAACAGGAGGGACGTTGCCTCTCCTGGTTCATTTTAGTTCAAAATGGCAGTGGAATTTAAATTGCTACCCAATTATTTGACAAATGATGAAACCCCTTTGAAGTAATTCTGTGATCATCCTATATATATGTTCTGCACAAGGCACACGGTTTGCACACACGTCCTTCAAGACTAGATTGGGCTCGCATAGTTCTCCTAAGTTCTTTCCACTCTTTTTTTTTTTTTTTTGGAGTTGGAGTCTCCCTCTATCGCCCAGGCTGAACTGCAGTGGTATACTCAAGGCCACCTCAGCCTCGAGCTGCTGGGCTCCGGCGATCCTTCCGCCTCAGCCTTCCAAGTAGCTGGAACAACAGGTACACTCCACCACGCCCAGCTAAATTTTGTGATTTATTATAGGAAGAGGTCTCACCAAGTTGCCCAGGCTGGTCTCGAACCTCCAGGCTCAGGCAGTCCTCTCGCCTTGGCCTCCCAAAATGCTAGGATGACAGGCTGAGCCACCATGCCCAGACTCTTCCCACTCTTTTTTGAAACCCTATTAAAAGTGTACATTATACATGGATTATCCATTTATTATCTCTATCCCCTCCACCCAAGGACTTTTAGCTCCTTGAGCATAAAAATTATTTATTAAATCTGGATCAAGAGTGAGCAAATTTCAGCCCCAGGGGCTGCATTCATCCCACCTCCTACTTTCTGTAAGGTCTGCAAACTAAGAAAATTTCGTAGACTTTTAAACTTTTTTTTTTTGGTCAAAAGAAGAATACTGTTTTTAACACAGAAAAAATATATAAAAATTCAAATATCCATGCCCATAAATAAGGCTCTACTGGCACACAGTCATGCTCACTCATTTGTATATGGTCTGTGGCTGGCTTCACGCTACAGTGACACGTTGGGTAATTACAACAGAGACCGTACAGCCCACGAGTCAAACACCACCTGGCCCCTTACAGAAATGCTTGCCACTCCCTGGCCAGCACTGCTGCACCCCTGGCACCTGAAACTCAGTAAGCGATGATTACTGTCTGTTGGACTGACTGTCGAATGAATGAGTGTGACCAACACAAGAAAGGATGTGCAGAGGCCAAAGCAACTCCATCTTGAATGCTGAGCCGCCATGTTGACCTCTGCTTAACCCCAGCTCTGGGCAGGCCTCTGAGATTTCCCAGAGTTCCTCATGCAGGAGCAGGTACTCACCATAGACCCTGCCCTCAGGTCACATAGCCTTGACGTGACTGCGCTTCAGTTGTCCTCTGCGTCCCTTTTCCTATGGTTTATGGGCCCCAGGTGACGGTGTGGGATCCACCATCTTGTTTCCCCGCCACCGAAGACAGACATGACTTCTGTTTGGAAGTCCCAATGAAATGTCTGTTTCTCAGCAAAACTCAGCTCTTTCTTCAGCCTCTTGGCTTCCTCCGACTGGAGGTAGGTTTGCATAGGTCTGTCGATGGCAGAACAGGATGAGACGACAAAGTCTCAAATGTTTCCTTGAAAGTCACAAACAAACGAACATTTGAATCATAATGTATTCTGTGACTGAGGGTCAGTTGAGCAAAGACAGATTGACTAAAAATATTGACACTCTACTGGTCTCATAGCATTCATGAAATTAGAGTTCTTTTTTTTTTTTGAGTTGGAGCTTCACTCTGTTGCCCAGACTGGAGTGCAGTGGCCGCTCCCGGCCACCACAGCCTTGACCTGCTGGGCTCCGGCGATCCTTCCGCCTCAGCCTTCCAAGTAGCTGGAACTACAGGCGCGCGCTACCACGCCTGGCTGATTTTTTCTGCCGAGTATATGGAGTGGGGAAGCTGGCTCCAGAAGTGCAGAATGCCCTCCTAGCCATGCCAACCACAGAGGTCCTCTTGAAGGAGTCCATTCTCCTTAGAGAGAGACTCGATACACACTCCCAGGGCACACGTTGAATTAAAATCCCCCCTGGTGACACGAGCATACTTGATATTTCTTCCAACGTACAGAATAGGGACAACGGCTACACGTGTTCACGTTCATGTTTCTCCCAACGTGCAGGTGAGTAGTTTCATGATGAAGCAGAAAAAGATCCTTGCTGCTAATGACACGCTGCATCCTCTTTCAGAACACAAGAGGAAAACAGGCCACCAGGGCCAGGCCTTCCTGTTGACACGGACGGAGGGTGCATGAGGACCGCTGAACATGTCAGAGACTTCCTCCCACGACTCCTTCTACGACTCCCTGTCAGACGTGCCGGAAGAAAGCAGGAATGCCGACATCTTCCCGGAGCTCTCTGCTTTCCTCAGCCAGGAGGAAATCAACAGGAGTATCGACCTGGCCAGGAGAGCCTTTGCCAACTCTGAGACAGAAGATCTTGACCCAGGAAAGGGGATGGTGCAGGTTTTCAGCGCCTCCCCTGCAAGCCTCTGTGATAGCCCTCCTAGGAAGGGGGCCCTCGGTGGACACGGCCTAGGGAGGCCTCAGACCAGTGGGCCAGCGCCTGCCCAGCCTCTGCCTGACCCAACCAAGGGCACCCCTTCCCCCACTTCGAGGAGGAGGCCCGCCGTGCCATCCCTGCTGGCCAGCCCCAGCTACATCCGGAGCCTCCGAAAGGCGGAGAAGCGTGGTGCCAGGGCCCCGACCCCGACGGCCAAACCCAGACCCGCAGGCCAAGGGGAAGCCGGCCCCCAGAGCCAGCAGAGTGACAGGGCGGCCAGTTTCATCGAGGAGCTCACGTCCATATTTAGAGAGGCGGCAAGGCCACGGAACCGGAGCCCAGGGGGTGAGTCCTCATCGCCAGACAGCGGGTACCTGTCGCCCAAGACCCAGCCACCAGCCCTGCCGGGCGCCTTGGCCAGCCAGAGCCACACGGAAGGCCCGCGGGACATGGAGGCAGAGGCCAAGCCGGCCGAGGCCAGGCCTTGCTCCCAGCCAGCCCAGGCCGCGGCCCAGCCCCGCAGCAGCACCTGTCACCTGCTGCTGCCCCAGGATGCGGGCCACCCACCCTCTGCCCCTCGGTTCATTCAGAAGCTGAGGAGCCAAGAAGCAGCCGAAGGAAGTCGCGTTTATCTGGAGTGCAGAGTCGCGGGGAACCCGGCTCCTCGAGTCAGGTACGATTTTTTTTATAGGGGTAGCGCGTGATGTTGTTGAGTTGATGCAGCTTTACTGTGGGAGGAGGAAAGATTTGCTGGTAGCCAGCCTCTGGAGACAGAGGTGGCGTCTTACCAAGTGTTTGCAAGGCAAGAGCATCCCTGCTTTTGTGTGGGTTGTCCCTGTCAGGGCACGTCTGCTGTCGTGGGTCATCTGGGCTGTGGACGCAGAGGGAAAACAGACAGGACCAGAGACAGGCTGTCTTGTAGGAACTCTGCCGTTAACATGGGCCAGGCAGACTTAGGATATGGAGTGGACTTACTCCAAGTGCTGCTAAAAGGGGGTGTGTGTTTGAATATGAGTCGCTGAAGATGGTTGAAAACATGGCTAAAACTAGAAGTCAACTGGAGGGACAGGTGAAACGCGCAGGCATACAGGGGTTAACCCTAAGATGAGCTCCTGGACAGGTAGCCCAACTTCAGGCACAGGCTACATAGGCATGTACTCAGCAAAGGTAAGTGCACACACACACCTCCGGTGATGCATGCTAGGAGGGCAGGACTTTCCTAATAGGGAAGGAGAAGCCAAGATGGGAGCCTCACAGGTGTGTTTTTCCACCAGAACCCAGAGATGGCTAAAAATGGCAGTGAAATGAGTTCAAGTCAATACACACGCCATGTTCGTCATCCTGTCTCTAAATTCTTCCTCCCGGATGGCTGAGTGTACACCTTCTCCTGTGCAAAAAGGATAGGGGAGGGACCCTGCAGTCCCCCTGCAAGGTCCCCAATTGAGACCACCATTTCCCAGCGGGGCCGCCTTAGTCAGGCTCCTTGCCCCTCTGTGACTCGGTTTCACTTGTGAAGTGGCCATTATCATAATACCTGCCTCAAACGGCTGCCCATGAAGACCGGGAGATAAAATAATGTTTATAATATTATTATTTGTAATCGTCAAAAGCTGGAAACAATCAGATGTCCATCAACCTCACCATAGCTTTTAAAAGTTGTGGAACAGTCATAAAATGGAATACTACGTAATGATTGGAAGAATAAATAATTAACACCCAAAAAAAGCATATGAATGGATCTCACAGGCAAAAAGTTGTACCCAAAACGCCAGGTACAATAGAGTTACATACTCTATATAATTTACATAAAGTTCAAAATAGGAGAAATTAATCTATGTTGATAGAAGTCTGAATAATATTTTTCCTTTGGCTAGAGATGGAGGGGTGAGTTGATGAGGGATACGAAGGGACTTTCAGAGAAGGTGATAATGTCCTATTTCTTGATCTGAATACACACATATGTGTGTGTGTGTGTGTGTGTGTGTGTGTGTGTGTGTGTGGTTTGCTTTACTAAAATCCACAGAGCTATTGAAAAAATAAAAATAAAAAAACACCTGCCTCATTCAACTTTATGATGATTGAATTTTAAAAAATGAGGAGAAAATAAATAAAACAGTGTGTTGCACCTAGTAGCTTGTATTATTGTTAACTATGATCTTTATTATTTCTCACTTCTTAATTTTATATGTCAAAATGAAAATAGCATGCCAAGTCAGGATTATACTACGAAAACACAGGCCATTCATTCATTGATTTGGAAAGTTTTGCCTTTGCTAAGGAAGACTGTTTCTCCTAAATTATACAAATATAAAAAGTTCATTTAAAATTATTTACTTTGGAAAATGGGAAAGTGGACATCACTGGCTAAAGAGTGAAACGCCGGTACTTTCTTATTAAAGGCATTTCATGAGTCACCCACCTTGCTGTCCTTCCTACCGCAGTCCGCTCAGACACGCTTTGCCAGAGCGGGTTTCCTAGTCTGACAAGTCCTTGCTCACACGCAAGGCAAGTGTTAGCACAACTGGCTGAAAAGTGGTGTGATTAGAGGCAGACAATATTTTTTTCCCAACCAATTTGTTCAACTAATTCACCTTGAGTCAGTCCTCTGCAGTTTTTTTTTTTTTTTCTCCTGTATTTCTTTTAGAAACTGACAGCAGGGGGCAGTAAAAAACTTCTTAATGTGCTCCTTTAATTCAATATGTCATTCTAAATTCTGCATTTGTGTTTTCCATAAAGAATGTATTTTTCTTACATTCTCTCCTGATAGAAACGAAATTGAACATTTATTTCAGATTCCATTTAGAGTTTTTTTTAAAAACTCTCCAATCTTGGGAACAGATAGTTTTTCATTAGAAATGCATCCGTGTGTCCATCAAAGCAGTTCCATCAGTTTTCAAACTACATGTGGTTCCACCTACATTTACTTCCAAAATAGTCCCTTCCAAATGGGTTGCCCTGGCAAGAATACCATAACCTTTCAAAAACAAAATGCAGTCCATTTAGCATTGGAGGATCAGTCCAGCTGAGCAGACCAACCGTGATGGCTATGCTAAAGTTCACCTGACCATTAGGCAATTCTAGGGTCCGTCATGTTCATTCTACTGCCTCTTGGGGGTGAGCATTAATTTAGTTTGTAGCTTCATTATTACTTCTTCTTCTCATATTGTTATTATTGTTATTATTATTATTATTTTGAGTTGGAGTCTCACTCCATTGCCCAGGCTGGAGTGCAGTGGCACGTTCATGGCCACCCCAGTGTCAACCTGCTGGGTTCCAGTGATCCTTCTGCCTCACCCTTCCAAGCAGCTGGAACTACAGGCGCTCACTAACACAGTTGGCTAATATTTTGCTTATTGTAGAGTCGTGGTCTCACCTAGTTGCCCGGGCTGGTCTCAAACCCACGGGCTCAGGCAATCCACTCACCTCGGCCTCCCAAAGTGCTGGGATTACAGGCTTGAGTCACCACACCTTGCCAGCTTCGGTCTTATTAACTAGTTTCCTCTTCCCTCGCATTCTACCAAAGTCCATGGCCACTGTTCATTAAACGTTACAAATTGTGCCCTCCTAGAGTCATTGTCTATGATTAAATGCTCCCTTGTTTAAAGTTAGTTGGTCACTGTGAATCCTGTAGAGTTTCATGGTTTTTGTTTTTAAGAGAGAGAGTGTAGACGTGCGTTGGGTAACTTCTGTCCCAAAGATCTTAGTCCTTTCTTGTGTATTTCTAAGTGCACCCGATGCCTGAGAACACTGAGCTCTTTTGACTGCTTGAGACATGTGACGATTTCAAGAGAACATTTTTGAAGGGAATTCTGTACAAGAAAATTTCACCGAAGAGTTCCTGCCCTGAGGCATCTCAGAGCCTGGCTCAGGCTGCCGCCATCCAGGGGGCCCAGTACCCAGCGCGTGGTAGACCTGCTGGGCAGCGGCACCTCCCAAGGTCGCGGGAGCAGCTGACAGACTTGCGGGGAGGCTGAGGGTGTCAGGAGCATCCGAAGCAAGCCGCCAGCAGAGGCCCTGTAGAGGCTGCTGGGAGTTGGAGGCATTCCGAGTTGGGCAGTCGGCGGCTGTCCCTGAACACATGAGGTGTGGTGGCAAGGAGCTTGGTGGCTGGGCAGCAGAAGGGTCTACAATGACTTAAAAGGGATGCATTGGAGAATATGACCGTCGCATCAGGACACAGATATGGGAACCGGACGGGGAGAGACATGCTGAGGGGTTTAAGCCTGGGAAGAACAGAAGAGCAGAGCAGAAGCCTGGGGACTAAGCCTATACAGGTCCACAATAGGGAAATAACTGCTAGAGGCACAAGGCGGCCACTCAGCTGCTGACCACAGCTCCTTAAATCTGGCCTGTGGGGTCTGGAGAGCCGGGCACGGTGGGCCTTACAAACGTGGGTACAAAACGCAGCTGGGAAAGGTTGGAACTGGCTGGTGAAACCAGGCTCGCCATCTCAAGGCAAGGTGTCCCTGTCCCCCAGATAGCAATGTCATCCTCGCGTTGCAGACACCAGCCATGACCACGACAGGACTGAACGCAAATGCTTCCCCCCTTTATTCTTTCACAGCCAACAACATCTCCACAAAAGAGATAAGAGCTGATGGGAGAAAAGTCTGTGCGTAGTGACAAAAATTATATACAGCTCAGGTAGGGTTTCAATGGTATGCAACGTGTTTGTGAACAGCATCAAGTCAGAATCCATTTATTTCTCTGAGCGTGTTAGAATGTCCGGTGTTTCTCACTCACTCCCCAGAGTGTGGGGTCCTGTTCCCTGCCACTGTCAGCTCCCCGCTCCCTCCCTCATGTGAATCTCAACTCATGTGAGTTGGTAAAAAATTGTGGAACTCAGTAACCTGGATGGACTGAGAGTCTATAATACCGAGTGATCTTTCACAGAAACGAAGATCTGAGTATCACATGCTCTCACTCATAAGCGGACCTTGAACAATTATCATAACACTAAAAGAAAAGGATTGGCAGCAGTGGGAATCTGCCAGGGAAGCAGAGGCACACCTCATCAACAAGGGAACCTGCATCACGAACATTTGTATATCTAACCCTGAATTACACCCCACATACTTAAAATAAATAAAAATTGTGAAGCGTTTCCGTTCCAGATCACCTCTAACGTGAAGGAATGGAAGCCCTATGTTTTCACTTCATACTTTTAAAAATGTTTCGTTATGAGAGCCTCGTGTTTCAAACCATTTCAGCACAAGGAACCTGAGACAGAAAACTGTGCTCTGGTGTGCCTAGTGACACAACATAATTCGTTAGTTACAGAGACTGACCCTTGGCCCCGTGCTGCCGTCTAAACGAGAAGATCCCGTGTGTGAGAAGTGCGTGGCTCCCTGGCTGCCTCCCCAGGTAGAGTGAGCAGAATGGCCACCTTTCAACGTCGTCTGGGCTCAGAATTCATATTTCAGTGTCTCCAAAAAGAATGGCAGTCTGATGATCTTCACAATGTTTTCCTATGTGAGAAAGGAGCCACAGCCCTCATGGGGATCCTTCTCACCTTTTAAACCAGGTTATGAATGGCCAATCAACTGAAAGCAAAAGGATTTTAAAAGGTGGGGCAGATGGTCTTCACCAATGGTGACAAACAAGCATTCCTGGTTTATGAACAGGGGTCCAAACACACCTCACACTAGACTGCACGGCAGGGTAAACATGAAC